TGCTGAACCTGCGTGCTGCAACTACTGAAGCCCGTGCACCTAGAGCCTGTGCTCTGCAACAAGAGAAGCCTGCACACCGCAACGAATAGTAGCCCCTGCTTGCCGCAACTAGAGAAAAGCCCGCGCGAATGAAGACCCAACACAGCTAAAAATGAAATAGATAAATAATTTTTTTTTTAATGTGCTAACCATATCTTCTAACCAGCGGAAGATATGGCATATTGAAATACTCCTCAGGTGCCCAATTGCATATTAAAGTAACAATGCTTACTGATATATATACTTTTTTTTTGCTCAGCGGCCATGGCTCACAGGCCCAGCCGCTCCGCGGCATGTGGGATCTTCCCGGACCGGGGCACGAACCCATGTACCCTGCATCGGCAGGCGGGCTCTCAACCACTGTGCCACCAGGGAAGCCCACTTTTTTTTATTTTTTTTTGTCCATGCCTCGTGGCTTGCGGGATTTTAGTTCCCTGACCAGGGATCAAACCCATGCCCTCATTAGTGAAAACGAGGAGTCCTAACCACTGGACTGCCAGGGAGTTCTCTACATATACTTTTAAAAAAATTAAGTTATAGAGATCATGCTTTCATTTGCACCTTAAGTTGGTATCAGCCTTGCTTAGTAGATTTTTTGAAGTGAATTCGAGTGTTTTGCATCAATCAGCTTTTCATAATGCTGAAGCAGTTGTTTTGATCAGTCACCCTATGTGCAGCTGGGTCTCTAATGTCTGTCCTAAAGTGAAAAGGAATTTTCCTGTCACTTTCTTTTTAATTCTAGAGAACACCTTGCTTTATTCCCTTTTGAAAAGCACCTTTTCTTATCCTTGCGATGGGCTGACTCCTTCAGTTACATCATTGCATATGCTTGATTTTTCCATAAATAAGCATTAGTTAGAAATTAATAAGTCAATCAGGAATTTTCTTCTGGAGGAAGCTTTAGTTTGTCTCACCAAGAAAAGCTCACTTTGAGCTCTGCTGTAGCAAAGGTCAATATTTTGTCACTTCGTACATCCAAAGACCAATAAAAATAGTAACGGTATTCAAGAGAAGTCTGATCTAATGCAAATTATTAGTGCATGGTTGATGAGTGTTTTCATGGCCAAAAGTCACATCTCTTACAACAGCAGATATGAGATGCATGTGTGCTCTCTAGCCAGTTTTCCCAGCCAACTAAACATCTCCTCCCGAAAAACTTCTGCAACGTTTGCCAACGTTTCTTTCAAACTGTCCCATCATCTTCCTTGATGTGATCGGTGGTTCTCAAAGTAGGGTTCATGGACCCTTAGGGAGTACCTGGGGGGGTACCTGAGGGTCCCCATGACCCTTTCAGGGAGGCTGTAAGTAAGCTCAGAATTAGTTTTATAATAATAATAAGGCATTATTCATTGTGTTACCATTTTCTAATGGTGCGAAAGCAACAGTGGGTAAAAGTACTAGCACCTTAAGCCCAAGTCAAGCGAATGGCTCAGACCATACTAGTGGTCATTGTAATGCTTCACTGTCACAGACTTGCCGTAAAAATAAATCCCTTTGATGAAACAGTAAAAGATAATTTTCTTCAATCTTGACTTTTCCTTCCATAGCATTTTAATATTCTGTGTGATGAAATGGGAAATGTACTTAAAGCATTTCTCTTTGCATACCAAAGTGCTACTAGTTGTCTCAGAGAAAAACACTTGAGTGGTTATTTGAGTTGCCAGCAGAACTAGCTCCGTTTTTGTTTTTGTTTTTGTTTTTCAGCCTCTAAGTTTTTATTAACATGAGTTTTCAGAAATAAGCATCCAGGGACTTCCCTGGTGGTGCAGTGGATATGACTATGCACTCCTAGTGCAGGGGGCCCGGGTTCGATCCCTGTTCAGGGAACTAGATCCCACATGCATGCCACAACTAAGAGCCCGCCTGCCGCAACTAAGGAGCCTGCGAGCCTCAACTAAGACCCGGCACAACCAAGTAAATAAAATAAATAAGTATTTAAAAAAAAACAACAACAAACAAGCATCCATACTAGTGTTGTGGGATGAGGGTGGGAGAAGAAATTCTGCTGTATTGGTAATAAAGCTCCAGGTTCATCCAGTCATGGATCTCATAGTCCCCCCAGAGACACGTGGTCCTTAAAAATCATGTACCACTTCTTCAAAACAATCTTGTTCCAGTGGGTGCCAGTTTGGGCTTCAGTCAGCTTCTAAGGTCCCCGATGGTGTCATCAGTATTGCATTTAACTCGGACCTTCATGCCTAGACGGTTGTTGCAGACAGCCTCGATCATCCTGGCTGGAACTCGAATCACCCAGAACCGTCTGATGCCACAACCTTCTCACAATAGTGCAGAGCCCAGGCCTTTTTTCTTCTTTCTTTCTTTCTTCTTCTTTTTTTTTTTTTTTTTTTTTTTTTTTTTTTTTTTTTTTTTTTTTTTTTTTTTATGAAACACCATTTTTACTTGAAAGAACGAATGACAAACTATAGTTGTTCAGACTTGATATTTGACAGACACTTCCTGAGAGTGAAACGTTAGCCTGTCACTTCAAGGCAAGCAACCCACAGTACCTGTCACCGACCACAACATTTGAGCTTTCAAGCAAAAATTAGAATTTTGGAAATCTTGTATCTGCCTCTGTGAGCTTGACAGCTCTCTGGTGCTTAAAGATCAATGATGGTATTAACAGATAGGCGCTACTGATCTTGTAGACTAACATGTGCCAGCATTTGGAACATCTGCATAACTCACTGAGCCAGTATTTTCTGCATGGGCAGTGTTTGATGTCTCAAAATCATGGATGGGTAAAAGATTCCTTTAAAGTGCAAATAGACCAATGAATGGATGTCAATGTGACAGAGTACAAAAAGTTCCTTGATACGGTTTCAGATACCACTTCGCAACTAACCTTTAAGAAAGCACCACTTTTTGACCTTTAGTGCAGTATCAAAGAACATCTGCAAATATCCAAAAAAGCTATTCAAGTTCTCTTCCCTTTTCCAATTACGTATATCGAAGGTGGCTTTTCTTCATGTACTTCCCCTAAAAGAGATGATCACAACAGATCGAATACAGGGGCAGATATGAAAATCCAGCCAGACGTTAAAGAGATTTGCAAAACTGTAAAATAATGCCACTCTTGTCACTCAAATCTCCTTTTTAAGGATGTAAAGGGCTCCTGAGACCAATAAGTTTGAGAACCACTGAGCCATACTGTATGGAATTACTCTGTTCATCAGTGTCTGTATTTTAGTCCTGAAGTTTTAGTATCTGTCTTCTTTCATAAGCACCGCTAGCAATTTTAAATGGCATTTTATAATATAATTTTCATCACTGACATTGACTACAGAATTTATACTGTGCCTTTATCTTCCTAGCACATGTATGTGCCTGACAGGAGGTCAATGCCAGCTGGCCTAACCTTACAGTCTGTTAGCCCCCAGAGCCTCCAAGGCAAAACGGTGAGTATGATATCTTTATTTACCATATCATGTTTTATTTATGTGCTACCCATGATAGCACACATCTGACATAGCTTTTAAGTTTGAGTTTTCAGAGAGGTGCCTCCCAGAGAAAAACCATTACTAGTTTTGTGGAACAGATGCTTGTCAGTAGAATTTGGAATCATGTCACCATTTCAGTGTCTTCCTGATACCTCTCCCTGAATGTCTGACTGCCTAAATACAAGATTCTGTTTTCCAGAATCTTTATAACCTGGGAGGGTGTTTTTACTTTATAACCTGGGAGGGTTTCTTTACTTCATTGAATGTTAATTTCCTGCTCCTTAAAACGGAAGTTGGAGTAGTTCCTTAGGGAAACAAATCCAGCAAGCAACTCTGTGTCTATAGTCAAACCACAGGCCTGTCAAGTTTCTCCTGTGGATTTTTATATAGATTAACTACCTTAGAGCAGAAAAGAAACCGATTTACATATTTATGCAGAGAAAGAGAGACTGTTGGAAATACTAAGTTCACGCAAGTACTTACCTTTATCATTTCATAGTCAGTGTTATTCCTGTTCACATTGGAAAGGAGTTATGTTACCAGGACACTATTACTCTTCAAATTAAAGAGAAAAGGTGACTTTTCATCACTTCATTTTATTTTAATGGCATTCTTTTATCAGGGGAACTACGCTTTCATATTAGTAGGTAGTCTTAATTTCTGTAAAGATATGATTTGAGGACCATTTAGTTGTTTATTATTTAAAATCCTCTTCCTGCAGTAATCGAAACAAGTTTATCTTCTATGTATTTTTCAAACATTGTTTTATTTCATCTCTTACATGCTTAGATATAAGGCAGATTTCTTGGCTTTAAACTACTTGTGGTTTACTTATTAAAGGCGATAGATATTGCTCGACTATAACTAAAAATTTTTAACTGTTGGAAATTTTAAACATTAGATCGTTGATCTGGCAAACAGACCTTAATCATAAGATAATGCTAAGTATCATATTATGAAATTTTCTCTTCTACCTTGCTCCCTCTAGTGGATATTTAGGACAAAATTTATTAACCACCACCTTCTTTTGGAGGAATCAGTTGTGCCTCTTTTTATTTTGCCTCAAATTTAAACATCTAGCAAACTTATTGTAATCTTTCATGCTTTTGAAAATCTCTTTAACTCCATAAGTAATAAACCAGAGTTTTAAGGTTTCTTCTTTTAGTATTTCTGTCAAATATCCCTCTGGGTCTCAGACTATCTAATCCCTTACCCCACTCTCCTTTCTCTCTGGCAAGACCTCTAGAGCTTGATATGATGACATAAGATATGGACTGTCTCACAGTCATGAGGTCACAAGATGTGGTTGGCCTCAGAGCAAAAGCATCTCTTCTTTTCCTGTTAAGTTTCTTCTTTAAGTCACATATGCACACACATTCTTTGACTGTTAAGAAGCTATTGTCTCGTCTGTGTGGATACTCAGAGAATCCAATAGTAACTATGGTTTACTTCTGACATTTTTTCCTCTTGAAGGCAATAACCTTTAATGTAACTTCAAGTAACAGTTAAAATTGATTTGTAACAGATACAGACTACTATACATAAAACAGATAAGTAACAAGGATTTACTGTATAACACAGGAAACTGTATTCAATATCTTGTAATAACCTATAACGGAAAATAATCTTAAAAAAAAAAAATATATATATATATATATATGTAACTGAATCACTTTGCCATATACCTGCAACTAACATAAAAATCAACTATACTTCCATTTTCTAAAAAATGATTTGTGACCCTAAAAAAAATTTTTTTTTATGGAAAATAAAGAGCAACAGCAAATGAACAGAACAGAAGAGAGCTAAGTGTAACGCTGTGCTGTCGGCAAAACAAGTCAATCTCGGGAACGCTTTTTGGCTCGGAAGTTTTAAGAGCACAGCTGTAGCTCTTAAGTGAACAGAGTCTCCCTGTGGTCTCTGTGCAGTTTTTAATCATAACAAAGCTCAGTCAAACACCGAATGATATTTTATGGCCTGTAAGACTGCCAATGACCATACTTTACTGCATTTCTAACGAAAAAAAATATATCGGATTGGTCTGTTAAGGAATTGTATCTACCTTTGAAAGTTTATTCCCCTCAGAGATCAGAGTAACCAATCAGGAACCAAAAGGTTCTCTGCTCTCCGCCAAGGGTGGAAGGAGGGTTTATGCGCACATGGAAACTTTCTGTGTGTAGTAAATGCATTTTTTTCTTCCTTAAAAATAAAAACTGGTCTTTTGGTCAATATAAAATATCCTGTGAAAACACTAACTGTGACATTTAAAAATATAATTGGGAAGCAGTTAATAGATCTCAGGTACTGACTGAGCTTAATGATGTGAAGGTGTCATCCAAGTTTTACATGAATTTTAATTCTTTTTGTTTACCTTCTGTTCTCTAAGATAGAGTGTTGGGCATGCAGATATTGTTCTATTGCTATAAAAGTCTTAGGTGTCATTTCTAAACATCTCATTAAAATATATTTTAATAATAGCTCTCATGTACAAACCTTTATAATGGTGGGGGTTTTTTTGGCATTGCACTTCTTTATGCTTAAGATTTAAATATTCTCTCATGAGTTCTGAGAATATGCCTTAATAGACTGTTGTTTTGCTGTATCTTACCAAGTAATACTGTTCCTTCTATTTCTCTAGATATCTATGCATTTATGTATGACCTATCATCATAGTGCTTAGGCACTATGTTTGATGTCAACCATAAGAGGATACTTGCCAAGAAATCTTGGTTTAATATCTGTCACTTAAGACCACAATTAATCTGTTTTCCACTGTTTGGATTCTTAAATTGTACTCCTTCAGCCAGAGGAGCTTACGCTGCTGCTTATAAAGCTGAGACGGCAGCAAGCGGAACTGAGTAGTATCCGGGAGCACACGTTAGCACAGCTCATGCAGCTAAAGCTCGAGGCGCACAGCCCAAAGGTCAGCTATGGAGAGATGTGTCTGTGTGTCTGCTCTTGTCACTCACGCTGAGCCATTCATTATTAATCGGTTTCATCAGCGTCATTCCCGTGAGCATGAGCCCATCCCACCACTGCAGCGACGACATCGGGATCTCCTATTGACCCTTTGAGAATTCCCTTGGTTATACGTTATTAAAGGAAAACGTGGGTCGGCTGCATTTCTTCGTAGCCTTCCACCCACCCACTCACCCACCAACTTTTGGTTGTGAGGGAGGAAATGCATGCAGACTTCAGAATACTATTGTCATTCCTCAAACACTAACTTCCACCTCCCGTAAAACAGATATTGAAGATTCCCGTCGTTTCCCATAAAGTAGTAAGTTGAGAAGTGATTAGCGTTTTAATAGTACTGCCTTTTAAATGTCAAAGATTAATTTCGTGTGTTCTTGATTTTTAAAATGAACACACGTAAACATTTCTCAAAGGGTTTAATAGCCTCTGGTTATATGAGAAACATCCAAAGAAGTAGTAACATATTGCCGAAAAGAATTAACATGTAAAGCTTCTAACCTTGAGTCTGCTAAAGCCATTTGAAGGATTTTTCTGCTTAATGTTTCAGCTTATATGCATGTCTACTTAATTTCTTACAAAACTAAGTGTAATTTATAATCATTGAATGCATCATCTGTGCCGTTTACAGGGGAGCATGTGTGTGGAAGTCGTTGTGTGCTGTGGTATAATATAGGTTGTGACAAACTACCTGTTTTCCCTGTTTCAAAATTGACCTTTTCATGAATTCCGCACCCCCTTTCTCTGTCCGTTTGTACCTTGATTGATGCCTACTAGAATGAAATCCTTTCACATCACCTTCAAAGGAACACCATATATTTGGATCATCAGGTGGGCCTTGAAGAATTTTTCTTACTTATCATACCTTATGTTTTAATGTTTTCAATGTAGTACAATTTTCGGGCTACTCAGATATTTCATTCATTTTGTGTTAATAGTGTGACTTTTACAAGTGGCAGGCTAAGAGACCCCTCACCAGGGGAATTCAGGAATACCAGAATAAGCAGGTTAGAAAGGACAGTTGTGGAGATGAGGTGAGATACAAATGCCAGGTCTCTGGAAATTGAGAGCCTGGATTCTCTAGATTTATTTTTTCTTATCCCAAGAATACTTGTACTTATTGGCTTGTGTCAGCTTGGAGGTGACCTAATTAAAGAAGTAGGCACCCATCTGTGAATACCTTGTTGAAGGCCAGGAGGAGGTGGATGTGGTGCTCTCTGTATTCTCAAGGGGAGGTTAACAATGGGTAAATGTTGAAAAGTGAGTGGAAGTTGATGGACAAGGACTGACACTCCTAAATGTTGGCGTCTGTGAACTTCCCTGTTAATATTTAATTTTAATTTGATGAGGATTTTTTATATGTTCTTAAACATAAAATTTCTTCTAGTGAATGCTTTCTTTTTGCATATAAATTAGGCTAGAATTTTCTTTAGCTTGTTTTCAAAACGTTCAAACTTGAATATTTTATCAAATGAAAGAGGTTACTGCGGAAAATGCTGTAAGACAGTATTTACATATTTGTATTTGCCCTGTTTGAAACAAAATAATAATGTACTGCTTTAAATTAGTTATATTTAAAGAGGGATTTTGCATTAGGATAACCCTTGAAAAGATGTTCAGTCATTTTTCTTTTAATTTTTAAAAGAAATATGCTTTTGTTAATTTGTAATTTATTTTCCCACAAAATGTTTTCATCATAGTTTTACCTATTGGAATGCTTTAGAAATCAGCATTTCATGAATCCAAACTCTAGTCTTCACTTCAGAGACTGGTGCTATTAAATTTAAGCACAGTGTACATTATACAATCTAATAAAGACATGTTTGCCAACAAAATAGTAAGATAAGCCTTCCCTTAAAATTCCACACTGCCAGAAAGCTTCTAAGATACATGGGGAATAACCTTCTTAAAAGCACCTCTGTCTATAAAGCTAGAGATCGTTCTGACAAACAATGGGATATTACAAAAATTAGGGTTAAAAACGACGATATGAATGTGGCTCTGAAGTTATCTAGAATCTCTGGAAATAAACTTAGTGGTTTATTAATTTATCGTTAATTTACTGCTCACCTCAACAAATCAAAACTGGCACTGCAGACATATAGAACTTGAGTAGCTCTTGGGAAGGGACAGGTAAATATATCGAAAAGACCACCATTTGCTAAGATGATGCCTCTCCTCACCTCCCTTTCCCGGACTGAGCTGTTTCTTCCCTTGGCCTTAGTGGCCCAGATCCAGTTGAGGCTTCTGTGCCCGTCCTTTGCTCCCTTGGCAAGGTGACTTCTACAATCTCAACTTTTAGGCGATGCGCTAAGGAGTGCTGCTCTAGAAGGTGGAAAAGGCAAGGAAATGGGATCTCCCGTAGAGCCTCTGAAGGGAACATGGCCCTGCCCACACTTTGGTTTTGGCCCATTGAGTGATTTCCAACTTCCAGCCTCTAGAAGTATAAGAGGATAAATGTGTTTTGTCTTTTAATTAATTAATTAAAATTAAAATCTCAACTTTGTATCAATCCTCTCTGTTCTGTCAACATGTCAGCAGAGCTTTTCCAGTAACTCACCTTTTTCTTATATCAGATCCCAAAATAGTTATATTATTCCACTTGTAAAATTTTGTGATAATGAGAAGAATTGTAGAATTTGATTGTTTGAATGATGATTTGCATTGAAATAAGACTATTTCTGATGGCAAAAATTGGACCATTTTTAGATAATAATTAGTGCATAAAAAACATGGTGAGGGCTTTGCCCAGAAACTCAGATATGCGTAAATGTGTACATCCTTAAGGTTTCCTAAGGAAAAATCTCTCTTTAAATAAATCAAAACATTTTATGATTTCAAATAATTGCATTTAATATAAATGAAATATTTACCTTTGAACTGTCCTGTATTTTAATCAGTAGTAAGGTTATTAAGTTATGTAGAAAGAATTCTTGGTAATATTGAATTTTAATGAAATTTTTCACTCAGCTCAAACATTTCCAGCTTTTAATCTTGTTACTGCCAGTAGCAGATTCTAGGTGACCAGGTGTATTTTTATGGGCATTATTGGTTGCCTGGGTTTATAAACTGATTCACGAGTTTTATATAATTATAAATTTGAAAGTAGATTTTAAAACCTGAAAGTCAGAGGCTCTGGTCACATTTTATAGAACTGTATATCATACCAAGAGAACATGTACTAATTGATACTCTTTCAACACTTATTCTGCTTGCTCAAATAAATCATCAGAATAACCTAAGGCCAACATTTAATTGATTTAAATTCTCTTAATCCCTGTCACTATTCATGAAAAATAGAACCAAAGGGTAGTCTCTGAGTTACTTCAGAGGTAAATTCATTTCTGATATTATAACAAATAAAAATGCCTTGTCTGAAATGCTGAAGATTTACATATTATACAGTCAATCGAAAACTCTTGTCTTCTGGTGCCATATCACCATCATGAGGACAAGTCATGTACTGAAGTGTTTTGAAAAATAACAAAAGCTATGCTAATTATTATGGTATAATTTTCTTCTGCTTTTTGTTTTACTCTGAAGTACGCTATTACAGTTTGTTTATGTTTTTATAGCCCAGTTAGTAGACTGTTCAATGTCTACATTTCTTAAGATGAGCCTAGGTTTGTCATTTTTATGAATTTTAAGATAAAGCCCCAAAGTATAACCTGTGAAAGTATAATAATCCTAACTGGGTACTTTATGAACCTCATCCAGGTTCTATTTCGAAAATGAATAAATACATAATATATCAGTAACTCATTTTCTTCTCATGTAGCTTAGTCATCACTGGACGTTAGAGAAGCTTTGGGGTACCGTTTAAGGGAAACTTGGAAATTTCATCCTACAGTATACCTCTGGAATGGATTTGACATTCTCTTTTCCCTCGTTCATTCCTCTACTACCAGAATATAGGAGAGGGGAGAAAGGCCATAAGTGCAATCTTGCAGTGGCCCTGTACTTGCCAGGAAGTTGGAGTAAATTCGAGATTATCAGCAGTTGCAAGGGCATCCCCTCCTGAAGAATGGAGTGTCCTGTTGCCATTCTTTGACGGTGAGGGAAAGGAGACTGTCTTGATATATTTTCTTTTTTTCTCAGAACAGGGCAGATTGAGCATGAGTTTTAGAGCTTTCCGATGCTGAACGTGTATTTGATGGCTAGGAGTTCCTAATATTTCGTGGAGCCACGTGCAAATCATCTGTTTGAAGCCGGCGTAACAGCTCCCCATAGAAGCTGACTGTTATCAACCGTCTGCTGTTCAGCTGGGGCATATATATCCCCTTCAGCAGGTCTCACATGGCGAGTAGGGACTTCATTTTCTTACTCTTGTCCCTTACGAGGATTTCCTCTGGTATCTAGTTCTCGGCTCCTGTAGTCTGGACCAGGACTGGTTGTACTGAGCAAAGGAATGAAGCCTGGATCGTAGAAACTAGAGCAGGGGCTGAGGAGAGGGAACTAGGCAAGGCCTCTATGTATGAAGAGGTAGAGCAGGGGCTGGAGCTTCTTCGATCAGTCGTAAAGGGAGGATTTATAGGATTGGGGAGATGAGGCCATGTTCCCATCCCTTCATCCATCTTCTTCCCTCCATTTGTTTCTTTCTTCCTCACTTGCTTTTTCTTTCTTTTTCTGTTAGTGATTGAAGAACAGTTATGAGGGAATTTCTGCCAGCTTTCCTTGTAGGCCATGGTAACAGAAAATGAGATGCTTAAGAACTGAGATGAAGAAATGTGTAGGGGGCTTCCCTGGTGGCGCAGTGGTTGAGAGTCCGCCTGCCGATGCAAGGGACACGGGTTCGTGCCCCGGTCCGGGAAGATCCCACATGCCGCGGAGCGGCTGGGCCCGTGAGCCATGGCCGCTGAGCCTGCGCGTCCGGAGCCTGTGCTCCGCGACGGGAGAGGCCGAGACAGTGAGAGGCCTGCGTACCGCAAAAAAACAACAACAACAAAAAAAACGTGTAGGTAGGGATGGACAGAAGGATCTAGAGACGTTCAGCAGCCCTTCACAGGCCTTTTGCAAGCACGCTGCCCCCTGGTGGGTAATGTTGAGTGTATACCAGCCCTCTTCTCCCTCGTCCCCCCGCAGCCACCAGTATGATTAAACAGTCCAGTAGCCAGCCTCCCCATTACAGAAAACCTGATACAATAAATGAAGTTTGACTCCTACAGTTGTGAGCTTTGCTTGTGCTGGTACTGCAGCAGATATTTTTTTTCATTTTTTAAACATAAAATGGTAACATTGAATGTGCTTTCACAAATGGCCCTTAGAATTATGACATTCTGGCTTTACCCCTGTCCCTTCAAGAGCCACTGTAGTTAACTGCATCAGAAATAGCTGCATGAGAACGGGAAAGGAAGGGACATCCCTCAGTCAGTCACACCTGTGTTGGGGATTGCCAGAAGTTCTTTGTGAAAAGAATATGACTCTGCTACGGATAATTTTATGAAATTCATTTGCCCCTACCCAGCTGGAGCTGTCTTCCCCCCACCCCCACCTCAGCATGGAGCATACCTAAGTCATTTCTGAATTTAGCATCAAATGGTATATTCTTTTACACCAGATGGCTAAAGGACCTTATCCTCAAATTTTCATGGAAAAGCTGGAAGTTTCTCATAACAAACCAGTTTGCCATAGTACAAGAAAGGAAAAATACAGCTCAGGCATACCTGTGGTGTTCTTTGTTGCATGAAAGTCTTGAAGGTTAGCAAGTCAAGAGCTCAGTCCTTTTATCAGCACATTTTTTTAAAGTATGAGCAAACGCTTGAGAGGAGAAGTCATTCTTGATCATTACTAACCTCTAAAACATCTTGAAGAGTAAGCTGAAGTTTCTGATT